CCCCCCCCCCCCCCTTTTTTTTATTTTCTTTAATAAACTTCCACAGAATTCTGAAAATAAAATGCATTGAAGAATGAGGAGAGTATTGAAATTATTAAGACAGAGATAAGGTGCATGCAAGATCGCAAAGAATTTCTAAAAAGATGTTATCCCAAAGTTTTATTTTCAAAGGTCCAAGTAGCAACCAAAGACATGGCAGATCAAAGTTACCTCGAAGATCCCAAGGAGCAAACTTGTACAACTGGACCTCTGAAATAGCCTCGAAACGAAAAGGCTTTCCCATAATCTTCCTCTTCAAGTAGTACCAAACCAGCTCAACATCAGTAGGATGAAACCGGAAACCCGGTGGCAGAGAAGTCTTAGTCATCACAATGAATCAGTGAAATGTTCTTATCTGCTATGGAGAGATGGAGCTGGGTTGGCACAAAAGCAACAAGGAGAACTTAAACTTACACGCAAATTTCAAAGTACTTTATTTTCTCTCTTAGTTCTCTTTTTTTTTTTTGGAGTTTGCCGGAGCGCTGGAAATTACAGAACTGAACAGAATTTGTGACTCAAGAAGTCACGCTTAGTTTTAGTATTTGTCAGGTCCTTTGTCGAAACCGTGGCTGGTGAGAAAACCACAACGGACTACAACTTGCGATCCGAAAATCACGCCAAAGCAACCACGGAGGAAAGACCTTACTGATTTCAAAAGACATCTGATGCAACAGCCGGTTCCTGTAGGAAGCCCATTCTTTAGAAGAAGAAGAGAGAATTTAATGACGAATTGAACAATATAATGACACAACACCAATCCCAATAAATAGCAGGAAAAAAATAATAATGCAAGTAGCTTGCAAATTCAAGAGATCAAAACCTAAAGATGACCCCCATCGAAATATAAAATCCTACATAAATTAAAGGCTTAAAACGAAACCTTCGCTAAATTTGAAGATCAGCTACATGAAACTAAAACTTTCTTCTTTTGATTCAATAAAGATCCACAAGTTAATAGTGCTTCCAAGATGAACAAAATGCATCAACTAAATTCTGCATGAAATCTACAGCCACACATCCTTAAACCCTATGCCACAATAGGATCATCAAAGCATTAGAAAACTAAGTGAAAACAGTTCAAAAAAATGAAATTTCACAGAATAAGAAGAAAAACACAAGCTTGAAGATTTTTATAACAAAATAAATCTACATTCCCAGACATTATCCAAGATTCCAACCCAAAAAGCAGAATCTTCTAAAAGTGAACTTGATCATAAGGAGGATAAACATAATCAAATCAAATGCAATAGAATCAAAACCTACATCATCGTAAACAATCAACTACAATTAAAGAAATTTCTAATTCGTATACTGAATCCTATCAAATGCATCGTAAACCCTAAACCACTCAAAGAAATCCCCAGTTCGTAAATTGAATCGACTAAAACCCTAGGGGAGATGTAATCTCCAGAGATTCACATAATTCAACCAAAATCGAGTCATTATTGTATTCAAAGCCCTAAAACTTAGAGAAAATTGAGATCCGAGAGCTTACGCAAAGAGACGGGGCAAAAAGGATCGATGAGAATTTGATCGCGCCGCCCAGTCGAAGGGTTTTGGGGACCGGGCGAAGGGGGGTTTATAAAGAAAAATGAGGAGGGGTGGTCGCTGATAAGTGCACGCCCAGCCAGACTCAGAAGTGAACCGTTTCTCTGATGGTGGGTCCCATAGTAGGTTGTGAAAGTGGGTGTAAGTTGTTTTGCGGACTTTGGTCTTGGTAGCTTACGTCGTACTCTTGGAACTGCTATCGGGTCCACCATACTAGGTTGTGAAAGTGGGTTTATAATTGAAATTTTGGAGGAATATAATGTCAAGAGGGTTTGCTGGCGTTTTCGAACTGCTATCGGGTCGGATTTTATTGGATGGTACAATATCCTTACCCGTTTTCTAGAAGCCCTGTGCACCCATGAGCATCCAAGTCAATAGCAAAGTTTGTTCGGTCAGCACAAGGGGTGCTAAACCGTATACTTATCCGAGAAAATATCTGTAACCGTATCTGTTAGGATACGGATATGGTTACTCAAATCTATAACCGATAGGATATGATTACGGATATGATTTTGTAGTGAAATATTTGTATCCGTATCTAAAATATATGAATACACATTAATCATACTCTTACGATAGCTTCGATTCTTAGAGTATGGATTTGTGAATAATTTTGATGATCAGGATGTCTAATCTTAACTTTTCAATTATAATGAACATATTAACGAACTCTTTTGTATCACATGAACTATGTTTTTCTCCATATTATCTAGTTTTCTCATATGCGTTTTGTATCCGCATGCATATCAGCTCATATGTCCGCATGTATATCCGTAATTGTATCCGATTTTAGCGGATATGGCTATGAATTTTTCTTACTGAAGTATATTCGTATCTATATCCGATATTGGTAAGCGGATATGGATATAGTAAGCATCATATCCGAGCCGTATCCGGACCCAATGCACCCCTATTCTGCAGCCAACCCGCAGGTGTAACTTGGCGGAGCCGTATCCGGACCCAATGCACCCCTATTCTGCAGCCAACCCGCAGGTGTAACTTGGCAGGATTCAACGCTAGAACACCCATCAAAACTGTGGACGCCCGGGCCCACCCACGTGGGAGTCTGCTCACGAGCAGACGTGCGCGCCCACGAAAGCTCATCGCGGGAATTTCTCCCGCGGGATTTTTTTTTCCCCTTCCGCGCACGCTCCTGTTCCCGCGCTTCTGAGCCCGCCAAATTTTTTCGGTTCCCCCCTCTTTGGTTTCCTATAAATAGAGAAGGGGTGGAGGAGTTATTGGTGTGGGGAAATTAGTGGGAAAAATCTCAAGTGGAGTATTTTTGAGAGAAAAGAAAGAGAGGAAGAGAGAACTTGTATAAGTTTGGTATTTTTCCTCCATAGTGAAACCCTCTCCTGTGGATGTAGGCTAGTTTGCCGAACCACGTAAATCTCGTGTTTGTATTTGTATTATCTGTGAGTTGTCATAGCTTGTAGGTTCCCTCGATATTTCAGTCCTTGAACTGATGAGAGGAAGAGTGTATATTTCACTTTGATGAAATATATCACTTTCGATTCTTGTTTCCTTTGAGAAATAAGAATTTCACTATCTATTCTAGTTTCCTTTGAGAAACAAGAATATAGAGGTTGACTTGTGCTTTTGTGACAACAATAGCCAGGGCTCTCTCTCATGTGATATCTCTTCCGCGGCGGTGGGTGTGACCCTTCGCCCCAACAATTGGTATCAGAGCTCTTATTCAGACTGGAGGTGGTAAAATTTCTGATTTGAGGTGGTGGTTGAATATTGTGTGGTAAAACACAAAGAAATTGTTAAAAAAAATTCCTGAGAGAAGCGGATTGACATAATACAAGCGGAAAATGGCTTCTACAAGTAAAACAAGTAAAGTTGGAAAATACGAGATTGAAAATTTTAATGGGAAAAATGATTTTTCCTATTGGAGGATGCAGATGAAAAATTTGCTGATTTCGCAAAAGTTGCACAAGGCTTTGGCTGGAAGAGAGAAGCATAAAAATATGTCTGATGAGGATTGGGAGGAGCTGGATCTGAAAGCACGAGCGTCGATTATCCTATGCCTTGAAAGGGATGTAGCTTTCTTGGTAGATGGGGAGGAAACGGCTGCGGGCGTGTGGTTGAAGTTAGAAAGCACCTTCATGACGAAGAGTCTAACGAACCGGATCTATTTAAAATCCAAATTGTATACTTGCAAGATGGAGGAGGGCTCATTAATTCGGGAGTACATCAACAAGTTCGATAGGATCATATCGGATTTGAAAGATATTGAGGTGACAGTGGAAGACGAGGATCAGGCGCTTCTACTACTTCTATCTCTGCCAAAGTCTTATGAAAACCTGGTGCAAACACTAATGCTTGTGGGTGATACTTTGTCGATGGATGAGACTAGAACAGTACTTCTAGCGGATGACCTTCGAAAAATTGCAACTAGTGATATGGCCACTGGTGGTAACAAAGAACAAGCGCAGGGACTGTTTGCCAGAGGAAGAGGCAATGAGCGAGGAAAAGGCAAGGGAGGAAAGTCTAGATCTAAATCAAGACCTCTTGCGGGACGAGCGTGTTTCAAATGCGGTGAAGTTGGGCATTTCAAGGTCGATTGTCCTAACAAGAGAGTAGGTAGGAAAAAGAACAACAACAAGACTGAAAGACGAGAAGGCAAGGAAGAGGCGAACTACGCTTCAGAGGATGGGAGCGATAAGGAATGTTATGTCGTCACGGATTGTGAGGATACCTCCGGGAAGTGGATTCTTGATTCTGGTTGCTCTTACCACATGTGTCCAAACAGGAAGTGGTTTACTACCTACAGGAGCATTGATGGTGGAACCGTCTTGATGGGGAACAACCATGCTTGTAAAACGGTGGGGCTAGGTGATATCAAAATCAAGATGCATGATGGAGTGGTTCGAACCCTGACGGATGTATGACACGTTCCCGGTTTGCGGAAGAATCTCATCTCAGTCGGTGCTTTGGACTCCGGGGGTTGCAAGATTGTAACAGAGAACGGAGTGAAGAGGGTTGTTCGGGGTTCCTTAACAGTGATGAAGGGTGTTCGTCACGGTAATCTATATACTCTCTCGGGTACGACGGTGACGGGAGATGCAGCAGTTAGAGCTGAAGGAAGTGGTGGAGACCCATGTGAGCACATACGGTTATGGCATAGGCGGCTTGGGCACATGTCAGAGAAGGGTCTGGATCTGCTTGGTAAAGAGGGTTTGCTGAAGAATCTGAAGAAGCCTTACATGGATTTTTGTGAGGACTGTGTGTATGGAAAGGCGCACAGGGTTCAATTTCTAAGGAGCAAGCACAAGAGCAGAGGGATACTAGATTATGTGCACACGGATGTTTGGGGTCCGGCTTCGACAACTTCCAAGGGTGGTTCCAGATATTTTGTCCCATTCATAGATGATCATTCAAGATATGCTTGGGTTTATTTCCTGAAGCATAAGAATGACGTATTTGAGACATTCAAGAAGTGGAAGGCGATGGTTGAGAACAGGACAGGCAAGAAATTGAAAATACTGAGATCTGATAATGGTACAGAGTATACAGACGATGCTTTCAAGGAGTTCTGTGATCAGGAAGGGATTGCTAGACACTGGATAGTTAGATCTATACCACAGCAGAATGGGGTCACGGAAAGACTGAACCGAATACTGTGGGAGAAAGCAGTGAGTATGCGATCATATGCTGGTTTGGGCAAAGAATGGTGGGCAGAATCTATTGCTACAGCTTGCTATATAGTGAATCGATCTCCACATTCGACATTGGACGGTGATACACCCTATCGGGTGTGGTCAGGGGAGCATGCAGATTATGAGAGGCTCCGGATTTTTGGATGTACCGCCTACTATCACGTCAACGAGGGGAAGCTTGACGCGAGGGCCAAGAAGGCAATTTTCTTGGGGTATGCAAAGGGCGTAAAAGGCTACCGCCTTTGGTGTACAGAAGATTCGAAGTTCGTGATCAGCAGGGACGTTACCTTTGATGAGAAATCCATGATTGCTAGGGTGCCCAAAGATGGTGGTGTTGATACTATTGGGACTCCCGAGTCCCAGGTTATTAAGATAGAACTGAATGACCAACCAGGTTCTAGTCGTGTACAAGTAGGAAATCAGGTAGATGATGAGCTTGAGCAGGAGGAGGTTCAACAGGAGAATACACAGGCACTACAACAACAGCAGCTCGAGGATAGCTTGGCTTCCACTAGGCCAAGGCGAGTATACAAGCAGGTACAGAAGCTGGGGGCTGATCAACCCCTGAAGCACTATAGGCATGTTAATTTGGTTGAGTACGCACTCTCGGTGGAGGAAGATGAGCCGGTCTCCTTCAAGGAAGCTATTCGAGACAAGAATAGTAAGAGTTGGTTGGCTGCGATGGAGGAGGAGATGGAATCTCTCCGGAAGAACCAAACATGGGAGGTGGTCCCATTGCCCGTAGAAAAGAAAGGTATAGGTTGTAAGTGGCTGTATAAAAGAAAGGAAGATCCTTCAGAGCTCGGTGGAACGAGGTACAAGGCGAGGCTAGTGGCTAAGGGGTTTGCACAAAGAGAGGGTGTGGATTACAATGAGATATTTTCTCCGGTGGTGAAACACACTTCTATTCGGGTGCTATTGAGTATTGTTGCTCATTGTGATCTTGAGCTGGAACAACTCGATGTCAAGACGGCCTTCTTGCACGGAGACTTGGATGAAGAGATCTATATGTATCAACCTGAGGGATACAAGGTTGAGGACAAGGAGAATCATGTATGTCGCTTGAGGAAGTTACTTTACGGATTGACTCCTTCATGCTTGAGGAATCTCCGCGACAGTGGTACAAGCGATTTGACTCCTTCATGCTGAAGCATGGATTTTCCCGAAGCGACTATGATTGTTATGTTTACATTCGGAAGCTTCGTGGAGGTGGTTATATCTATCTCCTGTTATATGTGGATGACATGCTTATTGTATCGAAGAACAAGATGGAGATAGATAAGCTGAAATCTCAACTCAGCAAAGAGTTTGAGATGAAGGACATGGGCGCTGCAAGAAAAATACTGGGTATGGA